TCTATCACCCAGGCTGGAGTGCAGTGGCGCAATCTTGGCTCACTACAACCTCCGCCTCCTGGATTCAAGCAATCCTCCCACCTCAGCCTCCTGAGTAGCTGGGATTACAGGCGCCTGCCACCATGCCCGACTAATTTTCGTATTTTTTCTTCTTTTAGTAAAGATGGGGTTTCGCCATGTTGGCCAGGCTGATCTCGAACTCCTGACCTCAAGTGATCCACCTGCCTCAGCCTCCCACAGTAGTCGGATTATAGGCGTGAGTCACTGTGCCTGGCCCTTTTCCTGTAAATTTCTAAGAGCTCTTTGTTTACTAGAAAAATGTGTCTTTTTCATCCACTCTCTTAGTTTGGGCTGCTATAACAGAATATCATAGACTGGGTGGCTTAAGCAACAAACATTGATTTCTCAGCTGTTGACTACAGTTACAAAGAGTATGTGCACATAGAAAGGGGGCGGTGAGACTTTACATGTATTATCCAGGAGGAGAGCGTCAAAAGGGAGACTTTCTCTCGTAATCCCTTATAGCTGGGGGACAGAAGCGTTTCTCTGCTAAAGAGGCCAACATACCAAAGTCCACGGAGAGACAGATAAAGGGCAGGATGGAGATGCCATGGTGGATACTCAGAAGAGAAATTCCAGTTTATGTGTATGTGTGTGCATGAGTATGTGTGAGTGCATGCATGTGTATATGTTAGTGCCCATGCATGTGTGCCTGCATGAGTGTGCAGATGCATACATCCATATATGTATGTGAGTACATGCATCATATGTGAGTGCATGTGTGTGTGTGCATGTATGCTTGCGTTTGGGGGCACAGGCAAAAATAGATGGGGTTAAATATTTGGAACGGGTCTTTCAAACTGCTTTTTTTTTTTTGAGACAGGGTCTTGCTCTGTCATCCAGGCTAGAGTGCAGTGGCGATCATAGCTCACTGTAGCCTTAACCTCCTGGGCTCAAGTGATCCTCCCTTCCCAGCCTCCTGAGTAGCTAGAATTATAGGCACGCATCACCACGTCTGGCTAATTTTTGTGGGTGTTTTTTGGTAGAGATGGGGTCACACAATGTTGCCTAGGCTGGTCTCAAACTCCTGGCTCTAGTGATCTTCTTGCCTAGGCGTCTCAAAGTTCTGGGATTACAGGAATGAGCCACTGACTAGGCCTCAAACTGTTATAATAATGGTAGTGACCTTGGACATTTTCCTGAGGAGTCACTGTAAATTTTTAAGTGGAGTAGTGATTTCATCTGACTCATTTAACATCAGCATGGAGGATTGCATTAGAGTAGTATTTCCAAAACGCTGTCTGAAGATGCAAAAGTTTCTGAAGAAGTTTCCCGTGTGTAGTAAATTTAGTTAAAATAATATAGTAAAATTTAGTAAACAAAAAATAGGACAATATAGTAAATCCTTTAAATATCTAAATTTATTCAACTTGCCTGAATTCTCTGGTTATTCTTTCTCTGCCTTCGGGGTTTCAAATCCTTTTTAATAAGACACTGGTGTTAATAGATGGTAGTAATAGGTTTGTTTGTTTGTTAATGCTTGATAAAATAAAAAGTTGGCATCTTTTTTTAAAAGATATTCCAGATTTTTTTGAAAATAAACGGATCTTTGAAATCTCAAAGTCTGGGAGCCACTGGCAAGGTGATATAAGCAGAAATATGCCTTTGTGTGTGTGTGTTTTTTCCATAGTACACATTCCTCGGCCCCTGAGGAAGAATTCGAGTGTAATAAAGTCGGTACAGGCATATGTATTTGGAAAAAGCTCCTAAATCCTTTAGAGATGCTTCTCTGGTTTAGAATCCCTGGTTTGGAGGAGAGCTGGGAAAAGCCTGGTGTTCATCAATGAAGAAAGCCTTGAAGAAACCAGGACATGAGAAGACAGGTAGGGTGAATGTCAACAACATTTTTCTTAGATGGAATGAATAGGACTCAAGAATGCGAAGATGGTCCTTGTGGATGATATAAGCAAAGCTGGGGTTCAGGAGGAGGCTCCAGATCGTCAGCTGGGAGAATGAGCCTGCTTTACTGTGCATGAAAGGGATTTCCTTCAACATGAGGTTCCCATCCTTCTATCTTGTTCCTAAGAATTAATTCTTCTTAAGAAGGCAACAGACAAAGAGAAGACTTTTGTGAAGAATGAGGTAAACATTCAGGATACAAAGTCTAATGTAGAATTCTAGAGTAGATGGTGCTTGATTTCCATGGAGTATCTGCCACAAACTGAAATATTAATATTTTCTGGTTTTAAGAATGTAAGTAAATAAAGAAAACAAGAGAGTGGGTGTGATACGGTTTGGCTCTGTGTCCCCACCTAAATCTCATGTTGAATTGTAATCTTCAGTGTTGGGGGAGGGACCTGGTGGGAGGTGATTGCATCATGGGGGAGGGATGTAGGGATTTCCCCTGTACTGTTCTTGTGAGAGTGAGTTCTCAAAAGATCTGGCTGTTTGAAAGTGCCCAGCACCCCTCTCCTTTGCTCTCTCTGTCCTGCCAGCCATGTGAAGAAGTGCTTGCTTCTCCTTGCCTTCAGCCATGATTGTAAGCTTCCTGAGGCCCTCCCAGAGGCAGAAGCCTATAAAGCCTTCTGAACCATGAGCTGATTAAACCAGTTTTTAAAATAAATTACCCAGGCTTTATAGTAGTGTGAGAACACACTAATACAGGGTGTCTGTGACTTAAGACTTCTGCTAAGTGGTTAGAGACTTTGACAACTCCAAATGGTCAAGTGACATATTGTTGAGTCCTCTGAGGGCAGGAGTCTATCTCCTCCTACTTTATCCTGGCTATGTTGCTAAAGCACCAAAAGGTAATTGGTACTTGTTGATTGAGGTTTTTGTTCTTTTACCGAACCAGTGAACCCTTTTGGAAATATAATTTTATATTTTAAAACTTCAGAACTATTCTGTATTCTTTAATCTCTCACTGTCTCTATTACTGTTCTCTGTAATAGAAATGATTTGGACTAGTTCTGAGTTGGCTGATTTAGAAGACAAGAAGTAAGTGCTGATTCTTCATTCGTTCAACTTATTAAATATTTTATTGACACCTATGATGAACCACTAATTGAATGTGGAATGTGAAGGAAAGGGAAGAATTCAGGCAGATACTAGCATCTTTCAGTTAAGCAATTGGACAGGATGAAAAGTTCTAATGATCTATTGTTGCCTAACAAACCATCTCAAAACTGAGTGGCTTAAAAGAACATTTTTGTTGTTGTTGTTATTTCTCAGGATTATTTGGGTTGACTGAGCTAAGCTCTGCTGTTCTTGCTTGAGGCAAGACCAGAACTACAGAAAGGTGAGTGTAGTGTCTCAAGTACAAAATTTAAGGAGACACTCACTCTTGGAGTCTTTGGAGCCCAATTATGAAGGTCAATGCCTCCTTAAATTTTGCAGCAAAATGCCTCACTTGCTTCACCCTGATCTTGATCCTGGCTTGGGGTCTCTCTCATGTGCCTTAAGTAGGATGGCAGCTAGAGCTGGAGCCACTTGAAGGTTCAATTGGGCTGGACATCCAAGATAGTGTCTCCACTCACAAGTCTGGTGCCTGCTTCACTCACATGGCTGAAATAGTAGGGAGCTGGTCAGGGATCTCCTTCCCTCTCCATGTATCCTCTACACATAGTAAGCATGGGCTTCCTCATAGCATGCCAGTCTGAAGGTGGTTCAGATGTCTTACATGGTGACTGGCTTCTCCAGAGCAAGCATTCCAAGAGGCCTGATAAGGTTTGGCTCTGTGTTCCCAGCCAAATCTCATCTTGTGGCTCCCATAATTCCCACATATTTGGGAGGGACCCCATGGGAGATAATTGAATCATGGAGGTGGGTCTTTCCCATGCTGTTTTCATGATAGTGAATGGGTCTCATGAGGTCTGATGGTTTTAAAAACAGGAGTTTCTCCGCTCAAGCCCTCTCATTGCCTGCTGCCATTCATGTAAGATGTGATTTGCTCCTCCTTGCCTTCCGCCATAATTGTGAGGCCTCCCCAGCCATGTGGAACTGTAAGTCCAATAAACCTGTTTCTTTTGTAAATTGCTCAGTTTGGGGTATGGTCTTTATCAGCAGTGTGAAAACGGACTAATAGAAGGCCTGAGTAGAAGCTGCAAGGCTTCTTGTGATCCAGCCCTGGAGGCCCCAGAATGTCAGTCACTTTCACTATGTCCCATTGGTCAAAGTCAGTAAGGCCTACCCAAGACTCAGGGGGAAGGGGATTGAACTCTACCTTTTGGTCTGAGCAGTAAGGATTTAAAGGCAGGGGGAAAACTGATGGAGAACGATTTTGGAGGGTATCCACCACAGAAAGCCCATTAAACAAAGAGGTTTTGGGGATGGAAAATTAGAAGGGCTCTTGGGGAAGCTTAAGTTTGAGATGTTCTTGGAACCAAGTGAATATATACATACGGAGATCAGAGAAAGACTGAAATTGAAAACATCAAATTAGGAGATGCAATTTAAAATCAAGGCAATAGATGTGGTTACCTAAGGAGTCAAGAGAGAGAAGGAGATACCAGGCAGTAAAATGAGAGAACAGGGGAGTGTGGAGTTTCAGAAGCCAAAATTTTAAAAAGCGTTTTGAAAAGAAGGAAGTGATCAGTCATGGCCAATGCTGCTGAAACGTCAAATAAGCTGAGGACTGAGAAGTGACCATCGGGTAGAGCAAGGTTTTGGTCACTAGTGACTCTGCATAATCGAATGTAACTCAATTATGTAGCGTGAATCGAGGGGAGAACAGGAGAGTGGGAAAAATGAGTAAAAGCAAGGTTTTCAAGTTTTCATGAAAATGGGATAGCTACTGAGTAGGGACGTGGAGTCTAGAAGATTTTACTTTTTTTTTTTTTAAGATAGGAGACAGTACAGCCTATTGTGGTGAATGGAAATGACACAACAAAAAAGTGGGCTGAGAACCCCTCAGGCTTGCAATGCTAATGCTGTGTGACTGGGATGCAGAGGTCCCCAAAGCATGCAGAGGTCTTGGGTCTCCCTTAAACCCCACTGAGAGCTGTATCAAGGCCAAGGTGGGGCAAGTTTTACCAAAAACACAACAACACAGAAAAAAAAAAAACGTTAACTTCGAGAGCAGTGGTTCTCAAAGTTTGAGCAGCATTCCCTGAGAACGTGTTAGAAATGCATATTCTTGGGACCCACCAGTCCAACTGAATCAGAAACTCCAAAAACTAGGGATCTGAGTTTTCTGATACGTGCTAAGGTTTGGGTCCCACTATTCTAAAGGAACTCAACAACCATTCAAGCAAAGATGAAACTGAGTGCTGACTTTGTTCCTTATGGGCCTAAAATAACAAAGCTTTAAAGACAAGAGGGGCTTGTTCAATTGTCTAATTGGCTTCGAACCTTATCTATGAGGGATCCCAGACACAGAGAAGGTGTCTGAGTTGTCCAAGTCCTTTCAGTCCTGCCTGGAGGACTTGGACAACTCCAAATAACAGAAAAAAAAAAGAGAGAGAGAGATTGAGAACCAGGGATATGGATGTTTTGATGTGCTATGAAGTTGCAGGCTTTCTGTATTTTTTTAGTATCGATGTATATTATTTGTCTACTACGACTCAAGTGAGAGCAAGCCGGTACGCCTTACCTCAGTCTGGCTCTTTTAAGGTTTGATTTTGGTACTGCAGAGGTGCAGCTTCCCACGGCCGACCCAGCGCCTCTAAGGACCGCAGCAGCCTCAGCAGGCACAGGAGGATTTCCCACAGCCGGAGGAATCTCCTAGTGCTGGGCCTGCGGCTGTGACTTTTGCCGTTTCAAATTCACTTGGCCTCTCGGGAGAGGCGGACAGCCCGACGCTGAGCGCGTCGGAGCCCCGGCTCCCTCTGTTTCTGGAGAGGAGATTTAGCCTTAATTTTTGTGACAGATGGAGTTGATAGTCTCTCCACGGAAAGGGGAGGAAAAAAGCGCCAGTTTTTGACAGGCCGCAGACGCCCGCTGCCTCTGGTGGCCGAAGGCTGCGTTGCGCCCCAGTTAAGGTAGCTCGGTAACTCCCGAGCCGAGACAGCAGAAGTTTCCTCTGCGGGGCAGCCTCCCTTAAATGTAGTGAGGGGCTGAAACTTACACTTTAATACAAACCTTTGGTGCGTGCCCATTTATCTCCTTCTTCTGTCTTGTGACTGCAGCCAGGTGGTACTTGCTCAACATTCCTGAATATTTTTAATGCTATTTAAATTATTTCATTACTGCACGTGTTGCAAGCTTATCTTCCTAAGAAATTATTTCGGTTGATTGGATTTCGGTCTTGCAATTTGAAAACGATGCCTGGCGCACGGGCGGTACCTGCCAGATGGCCTAACTGGGACTCGGGGGCGGGGGGAGGGTTGTAAGCATCTCATCAACATCTCCCTAATAAAGTGTGTGCTTCTTTCTTGTATGCTTCTTTAAAAAAGTTTCAGTCTCACGTTTTCTCTCTGCATTCTCCCCCTCCCCTCTGCAGTGATCGAGACCCAAAGACAGGGAGCCTGGAAGATAAACTGAGTTCTGAATCCAGTCGAAAGCACAGATGGGGGCCAGCGAGAATTAATAAAACTATTAAAAAAAAAAAAAAAA